AGATATAGTTTAAGGCAAAGTAAGGGTTTTCTACAGTAATAACAATAAGGATGCAGAATTCTCTGAAGAGGTGGTTTTATAAGAGCCTATACAGAGGTTTAAACAGCAATTGGATAAATGCTTGCAAACGCATAATATACAGGGATATAAATTTTAATTAGTGCTGTAATAACTTCTTAAACCAAGGATATATCTGACTGCTATTCGGGGGTCAAGAGAGAACTTTTCCTAGTTTGCTGCACAATTTGAAGCGCTTCAGTCTGGGTTATTTGCCTTCTTTTGGATCAACATCAAAAATCAAATGTGAGAAAGGCTGAACTTGATGGACACATGTCCCTTTTCAGCTATGTAAGTATATGACTGTGCCAGAATATCAAAGTATTTTCATAAAAACTTTTAAAGCAGTCTTTATGAGTGTGACGGATCGCCTGGCACCCCGACCGGGTACCTCCGTCAATCACTGCCTCCTAGTACTTACGAGCACCATAAGCACTGTACTGGAAAACCATAAACGTAGCCCTGACGAGCCGCTGCAGCTTGGTTTGGGTCTCGCTGTCCTCCACCCACCCTGGACCCAAGACCAGGATCCAGCTTCCGGTGTGTAGACCTCTCCTACTCCAGAGAGCGTAACAGTAACAGCTCTTATAAGAGCTAGTGATTATACTCAGGGAAGTATTGTAATATAGCAATCCCCAGTGTGCATGTAGTTCTCCAATCCCCCAAACATGAGCCAAGACTTCATGAATGGGTAAACAAATCTCTCTTTAATGGGAGCCAGACTGGCCATTTATGCAAGTCCCCAAGCAAGGTGTACGCCCACATGGACATTGTTGGGGACAGGGACACAAACCAATAACAACACATTTACAATGTAAGTTACTCCCACACATAGCATACAATCCCTCTCATCTGCCTGGGAGATACTTTAGTCAGATAATGTATAAACCCAATTATCTCCAGGCAGAAAAAAAAAAAAAACATTTTACAAAACCCCAAAAGTACCCCAAAACACATTATATCCTCACATGTTGCATCCCCTGATAGTCCTGATCTGGGTGACCAACATATACAAAAATCACCCAGATCAGTTCAGGGGTTCAGAAATGTTATGAAAGTCACAGATTTGACCGACTGCAGGCATGGTCTCATGCCCAAAACAGTTCCAGAGAATCAGGGCTTGTGGGCGGTCTAGTTTGGTAGTTTGAAAGCGAATAAACTACCGAACAGAGTCAATAGTCTTACCCTGGAGCTTGTTCCCTTCATCCAGATGGATGAACAGTGCTCTTCTAACCTGTATAGAATCGAGCGCAGGTGATGATGGAAATCCAGCTGCGTTCGGGAGTTTCTGTATCCGATTTTAGTTCCAGGAGATTCATGCCCAAACACCGCTGCCTGCGTTCATGCGAACAAGATGGCCGCCACCTCGTGGTTGTCCATAGGAATTGCAGCTACCCAGACGCACAATTAGAACACTTCGGTGAGAAATGTTCCAAGTTGTTACTAGATGTAAACAGAGCCTGTTTAAAGTATTTTAGCCAGGTCTATTGCAGGGGCCATAGTCACAGGGTAAGAGGTTGGCAAACAGGCGCCTCCAAGAACCAGTGACGAGGTTCATTTTGTCACAATGAGTATTTTATAAAAACATTATTTTTATGAAATCATTTTAAAATGGTGACAGAGCCACTTTAGTGTTGCAGTGTATCTATGTAATTATCATAAGGATAACAGATACATTTTCATAAATTCTGTATAGATAATGGCCCAAAGAGTTAAAGCTTTATAATGCTGCCACCTAGTGGTAGTTTTTAAAATATCTCAATTGAGGAATAAAATGTATAAAATTCACTGTATATTGTGCAGGCAGCATTATTTATTTAAATGAACACTCCAAATACTGTAATGGTTATGGGGTCCTGGCACCTCGCCCACATAAGCAGTAAAACAGTTTACTAATGGTTTGTTCGCTCGTGGTGTTATTTGGAGTGCTCCTTCATTGTTTGCATGGCTATCATTTTAGTTTTGCAAAACATAAAATATAGAAAAAAAAAGTATATTGTTTTTATTCTGCAAATGATAATGAAAATATTTTTTGAAACATTTTGACCAAAATAGCAATGATGAAAATAACTGAATTGGGTTTGTTTCCCATGTAGTTATTTTGGACCAAAATGTAAATTTTGTTCCCAATTGTTTAATGAATAAAAGCTAGATAATCAACCCGGGAGCAGCGAACGCGCCCTGACCACCCGCCATGCCCAACGCTGCATCTTGTTAATTGTATTCCTGTTCTGAATTATCACTGTTATTTTAATTTCTTTCTTTCTCTCTTGCCTCACCACTGCGCAAACAACATTAGCCATGACTTGGCCCAAACCACACTCACAGCCAATAGCCACAGCCGTAATAGAGCGTGGACACACGGGATGGAAACTGACTCCCCCCACCTCCACTCCGTGCCCCTTCTCCCCCCAGGTTAGGGGACATTCTTCTACCTGTCACAACGCTAGGTTTACTAATGACGCTGTCACCGATAGCCTCACCTGACTCACACATATGACAACATGACATACTATATGCCCGGGATGGACCGCTATAGCACACAGATCAAGCTTTCACCTACCTACGAGGTACCTACACCGAACAAGACCAATAGATACCACACATAGCGCACGAACCCTACTGACACACGCACGCAAAAAAAAGTAAAAGAGGCCTGCTAATGTTGAATGTTTATAACTGTTGATGTAATACTGATAAGCCTTATCTCAACGCATTATCTGAAACTGAAAAACTTGTAAACTTTCCTCAATAAAACAAAGATTGATAAAAAAAAAAAAGGCTACATAATCAACATTCACAACATCAATCCCGAATAAAATAATATACATTTGAATATATTTAGTACTATACCAGATAGATAAAATAGAGTGCAATGTTAAGAACAATAAATTAAGCAGATCTGTGGTATTGTTGTTAAGGACACATGACATGTGTGACATGCCATGATTCCCTTTTATTCCAGATGTCCTTAAGAGGTTAAACACAAACAAAAAATAAAAATTTAGAATTTTCTGCAAATACTATGTAGTTGCTGTCCTCTTATCTTCTGACATTTGTTAACTTGTATTGCAATATTCTCAATAAACATTTAATTACAAAAAGAAAAAGAAAAAACTTTTAAAAGTCATATCATCAGTTTACGCCAGAGGTGCCCAATAGGTAGATCCCCCGAAATATTGAAACTACAGCTTCCATGATGCTTTGTCATTCTAAAGGCATGCAAAGCATCATGGGAGTTGTAGTTCTAAATCTAAGGACCTACTTTTTGGGCAACCCTGGTTTATGGGAAAAAAAGGTTCAACACATTTTTGGAGTGCTTTTTACACCCACGGTGGAATGCTGGACTCTTTTTCTATCTACATTGTGCTGGATGTCGAAACTAGAGTCCTGCGCACCCTGGTGAGGCCATCAGGAGTAGTTATTGTGTGTGAGTGAGCTTACTTCACTTCATTTTGTTTTACAGAAAATATGAATAAGGAAACATGTTGTGGAATCATGGCTGAAACCACTTAGTGATATAGATTAGTAACCATCGAAGGACCAAATGTTACACTTCTGTTACCATCCTGACAAATGCTGACCTGAAATTGTGGACATCTGCAAGCCACTGCTTCCCTCTCCCTACACAATAACCATCAACAACTAGAAAGGAGAAACTCGGGTTTGGGTTGTATAAGTGATAGAAACCTTACATCTTGTATTACCTGGAAATTTTACACTTTTCCATCATCACAATGTGGCAACTTTTAGTAGACTGTCAGCCAATAAACAGGTCATTTTAGTTCGTACATGTATTTCTGACACTATAGAATTAAACTATTTAGGTTCCCAGCCCCCCTCTGATCACATGGGAAAGGTGATTTTACTCACCTTTTTATCACACCGTGCTGGTCTTGCTGTACCAGGCCCGGTCTCCATGACTGAGATCATCAATTTTTTATGATCTCAGCAAATCCAATGCTTTTCCATAGGTAAGCATTCGGAGGCTGTTGTGCATGCACAATAAAATGCAAACCTAGCAAATCAGCATCTCACAGAGATGTATCAAACCAATGCAACTCTATGGGGAGCATTCAGTGTCTTCAAGCAGAGCATGGAGGCGCTGAAAATAGCTGCTGCACATTGTGCAGCACGAGATAGGAAGCACCTCTAGTGGCTGTCTGAGTGACTGCCACTAAATGTGTTACTTGTCAGTAATGTAAACTCTGCCTTTCCTCTGAAAAGGCAGAGTTTGTATTAAAAGCCTGCAGGCACAAGCTATAGACACCATTACCACTAGAGAGCAAAAAAAAAAGAAAAAACAGGGCGCAAGAGTATACGGAGAACAGGCAGCAATTAAAATAACCTGCCCTTCGGTGGGTCCCCGCTCAGATGTCAAGCTGGTTTTAGCTCATCTTGTGCCATTACAGAGAGAACATCTCTGAAACATATCAGACTAGTCCCACCCATACGGGCAGTCTAGATCCGAAATGCCAGCAAGTTCCCTCTGCACGAGAGAAACAGCAACCCCAGACGATCGCTTCAGCCCTGTTAGGCATCATCAGTGAGGCATAGCTACATCAAGCTGCAGTGGTCCTGGTGACTATAGTGTCCCTTTAAGGATCAGATTGGTATGGTGTCAGACTGTCACTCATCCTTCCTAGATTATAAAAATCAAGACCAAAATAAGATGCTGTAAGTTTTTCTCCTGTATTTAACATATTACATATGTTTGCTTTGGTTGCATGTCTAAATGGCCACAGTATTAAGGATCAGCTATGATGAGTGGTCAACTGTACTTATAAAATAGCTGTGGTAATGACGCCTGTAGTCAGAAACAGGGCCTTCCTACCAGGAATTAGAGCGAGGGACTTCAAAGATCTTGAACGAACAGGTCTCCAAAGATACCTACACTTATATCTTGAAAAACAAATAGTCACATTTGAGAGACTTAAGGAACTCTCACATCTAACCACCAAGGATTTATTTCGCTATATCCAGATACGGGATTTCGCGGTCAACAAAGAAGTTAAAGAGACAGCCGCAATCCCACTTATCTGGTTTGAGAAAATATGCCTCCAAGAGATCTCCTCATTATATAATCACCTTAGTGTAGAGTCCAATGAGTGGGGAGAGCTCCGGTATACTGACCTTTGGGAAGCAGACCTAGGGGAATCGTTGGAGGGTACGGACTGGCAGGACATCTGGGAGTCTACATCCCGATCCTCCATCTGTGTAATCCTCCAAGCTTCATAACCTTATTCCGGTGGTATACCACCCCAGTAAAACAGTCTCCTCTCCAGACCAAAGGAGGGCCTCACATGACCCGAATAGCAATTACTAAATATGATCGACCTAGTGGCCTGCAGGGCCTTAGCTCAAAAATGGTACCCTCTCTCTCAGTGGTTACGGCCAAAATAAAGGACGATTACCTGGACAAGCTCACTTTTATGGTCTGACACACTGCTAAAAAGTTTGGCAAGGTTTGGGAGCTATGTGAGCAGAACATAGAAGAGGAAGTAGGCTGATCAGGGAAGAAGTCTAGAGACGGGGTCATTGGAGAATGTGGACCGAGTGTTCCTCACCCGAGCCATGGGTTATTAACTTACTGTTATCTTATCTTGATTTTTAGTTATCTTTTGGGTTTTGATTTTACCTTACTTTTATGTAACCAATATTTAAACTGAAGTAACATGACGACAATTTGTGACATGTTGACAGTCAAGCTCCCATGAGTGTTACAACTTGGCAAACATCTGGTGACGGGAACATATACGATATAACATTCCGTATTTTGACATGCACTAACCAACTATGTTTCTTTTCTGTAAAACAAACGAAACTGTCATCTAAACGCATCTCTGTTTATGTAAAAACAAATAATTTATTTTAAAAAAAGAAGCTGACAAGCACCGCAACTATGTTAAAAGTGAACGGTTTTTACCCCCGGACTTAAGTTCTACAGTGGGATACTCGTGGTGACATGGGACTCTCCGGTACCACACCACCACGCTCACGCAGTCATGGAGGACTATGTCCTGCAACATTTTCAAGCCTTGCCTCCCTGAGACAGTTGACACTGTCTACAAAATTCATGCCTAGCCAGACAAGAAGTATATGTAGCCACACCACAAATTAGTTTAACATGTACTTATTATACAATCTTGCTAAAGTAATCATACCAGTCATGTTTTCCCCCCTCTCTCACTACCCTGAATACTACTCCCTAGCATGACCATACGCTATATAAGCAAGAATATTCTGATGTTACTTGTAACCATAACTTATGCTATTCATTCGCTCAGACCTCAACATGTATAGCTAGTGATCAGCTGCCTATTTTAACATATGTTCTCATGTTTATGTATCTATACGTGTCAGAGCCTCAACGTACCATAACCCTGAAACATGAAGGCATGTTACCGCATCTTACTGATACTACTGTGGTTAATCTATAATTGTTAAGCATTACTTGTTCTCAATTGTTTTAAAGAAGTCTACTCTGACAGTATAATCGTCTAATTCAGCTGGTTAATATTCTAAAATACTCATGCTACTACCTAACGTGTGTTAACCTTGCAATACGCTTAGATTGTTCGTAACTAAACATTTAAAAATTGTGCCGATACTCGTTTGCCATGAATGTACAACTATTGTGTCCATATCTTTTAAATATGCTGTTGTGGCGGTGACAAATGATTGGTTATTCCATGCACAAAGAAAAATAAAGAATTAAAAAAAATAAAAAAAAAAGTTAACGGTTTTGTTTTAACCTTTTAATATTGTTTTTTAATACTTTTTGTAAACTGTAAAACCCTTTGATAGTGTATATCAAACTATGATTACCAAAACTATAGACGGTTATTGTGCTGTGATACTTTTATCTGCATGAAAAGCGGCTTTTGCACAAGCCAATATGTGAATAACATGACGTACATGCTGTCAATGCAAAAATATAGAATAATTTATTTTTTTTTTAAATAGCTGTGGCAAAAGAACACACACAAACACTGATCCGAAGTGTTACCAATAAATACAATAAGCTGAAACTTAAAAAAAGCTTTATTAACGTGGAATCATGTTTTGTCATATTACAGAAGACAAAACGGCAAGGGAACAATATATCAACATTTAAACATATTGCATACAAGTGAGACTTTTTCCAGGGAACTTAAACAGTCAACATTATTGACTTTTTGCTTAGCCATCAATAGAAAAAAAAGTTACAAGAGTTGATCACAATCTTTTTGAAGAAAAGTGAGGAACACATTTTTCTTTTAACAGTCCTGGTTTCTATAATTATAGGATTTATCTCCTTTTGGACTCCTCTAGAAGTACAAACTTCAAAATAGGAATTCACATTAAGCACAGTAGAAATCTTGACTCCTCTCCAATCCATACTTTAATATGCTGATATTTAATGCATATTGCTATATTACATGGAGTCTATGTCTAGATCATAAACGTTTCCTACCCCACCTAGTATTTAATTGCAATTCTCTTTTTTACATTTTAAATGTAGGTGTGGGGCAAGGTTTTAGTATTTGTAATTTGGAGTGCCTAGCAGGTAAATCCGGTCCTTTGCAACTTCCCAAGACTCTTGCAAAATTGCTATAAAACGTGAAGGCACAATAATGAGATCTATAAAAGAGGTCACTTTTGAACTGTGACAAACACAAAGGGCTGTGTTTAGGGGAAATAGCCATTATATTAAAAAAAGGTACCGTCATCATTTACCAGATGGGAGAACATCATTGGTTCTAATGTGATACAGCCTTGCATGGAGAAGTCATGTACTTGGAATGTGACATTTTGTCACTGTTTAAACAGAGAGATACATTCTTAAAGACAGATGGGGCAATAATAGAGAAAATTGAGGTTGTATTCGTCATAAAAGAGAGAATTCGGACTTAGGTTATATATTTATAGAGTAGTTGGACACTGACAAAACAGCTGGCAACATGCAGCAGAAGACAAATGATCTCCTCGATAAGCGACACAACAGGCTATATAATACTGTTAGGATACAATAGAATACACTGAGAAATGTGCAACGTGCGCAGGTATTCTGCCTTGTTGATGTTTAAATTAACATTTGTCAAAATAAACCGAACAACAAGAGAGGGAATTGCAAAGTAGGCACCAGTGGTCTTCTTTTGCAGAAGACCTATATTTAGAGGTTAATAAGAGACAGAGCGCTGCTCCACTGATATACAAACGAAAGCTTTTGCTAAAAAAAATATACTGTTTTACGGTAATTATTCTTCCTGTTAAGCCTGTATCAATATATAATTAAACAACATTTATTTTATTACTCAAATATCACATTCCAATATTTCAGTCTTCAGTATGGTGATATCTTGCTTTCTGGGCCAAGCGATATATATAGCAGTATATAAAAAAAAAAAATTAAATGGTTCAAACAGAAAAGTTGGGTTGATTAATTCCACTGGACTTAATTCCACTCCTAGAATTCTGATACACTGTTCTTTTGGCAACATATTCACAACAATCTCCCATGGTGTGGATCAACTTGTTGTGGTCACGAATCGGAGAACCTGTATGTTTATAGTACAAGATTGCACACCCACTATGTACCGTTGTTTCAACAACATTATCGTCAACACTGCACTATAACCTTAGCCATCAACTATTCAACAACTGCAATGCCTAAAGAAAACAAAAAAAAAAACAAAAAAAACAAACTTAAATCTGAACTACTTTGAGCTTGCTTAAGGCTGGGATATAATGTGTAATTAATAAGTGGGACCCTAATTAAACAGATTGTCACTTCCCTGAAATTCATACTGTTGAATAAAACGGTGACATGACTTGTAACGTCTGTTACTTTCTTCTAAGGATGCGTCTTTTATTTTAAATATTAATAACATATTTTGCAAACAACATCATGATCCTGTACAGACAAGGCAAAGCCAATCCAAACATTCCTATTAAAGAGGAGAAATAGAATCACAGTTTCTATATATTGAATACCAGTTGTGAAGGACAGATTATAACGCTTATAATCATTGACGGAGAGCTAAGATGGAGGCGCCCAGTTGTAGGATAAAGATGTCCCTTTTCAATCTTACTTTCTTGCCTCAAAAATATTTATTTGCTAAATAGAGGAGTAAATAAATATAATATTAAGAAACCAAGGAAGTAACAATGCAATTAACTGTCTCTTGTTTTTCCGGACATCATTCATATGATGTACCCACTTATATACTGAACCAAGACTTTACAGAGTATACATCTTTTTGGAACCGATCTTGAAACCAGTAAAATCTATTAAACTACTGCCATTGAAGTCAGAATATGTGAGACCAATTAAATCCATAGTTAATGTTGTATTTACAGATCTTCCATAAATAACAGTTTGCAAGCTTTTTAGAGAAAGTTGCATTTACAGAGCTGATTGAAAACTCTGTTAATGTCTCAAGTATTGCTTAAAGTTTTCGTGACCTTTAACTTATTTTTCCTGCCTTTGGCCTTTACATAGTAGCAGAGCCAGTGAGCGCGAATGGCATTGGACCCTTTTGCCTTGTGAAGAAGAAAGCCCTGAGCACTTGTAAACTGAAAGATTACTAGTATCTAAAAAAAAAAAAATCTTTAAAATATAGAAATAATACTTAATGGTAACGCTTAACCCCTTAAGGACCAAACTTCTGGAATAAAAGGGAATCATGACATGTCACACATGTCATGTGTCCTTAAGGGGTTAAAGAACTTCTGATGTTAGACTACTGAAAAATGTAAAGAAATAAAATTAAAATAAAAAAAGGAGGAGGAATTCTGAAGCTTGACAAACTACACTTGACCTTTTATCAAATGTGCATTGACATTTGAATTATATAATTTCCTTTTTTTATACTTTTCATTTCAAAGTATTTCATTTTCAAACCAGAAAGGAAGCACGTTTTTCTTCTAGGTTCAGAAGAATTCTTCAGTGGGCCCAGCCCTCTGCTGATCAAACTTTAACACCCCCCCTATTTATTAATGAAGAATTTTTTTATTCAACTTTATAAGATTATTGCGTATTAATTATGGCAGTGAGAGTACAAACAATTTTTGTAATTTTTTTTTTTTTTAAATTGTCTGCGTATACTCACGTGCTACATAAAGTAACTTTTCTCATTGTCATAGTAGTAATAATTGGAAATAATTTGTAAAACAAGTGTTTTAGATTAAAG